GCTGAACCTGTTCTTGGTTTCCTCCTGTGGGAGAGCAGGTCCAGTCATGAGCATAACTTCAGGCTGCGGCCCTTCAAACTTGGACAGAAGTTGCAATAAAATGTGTTCCTTATGATGTAGGTTTCTTCCAGCAGCAAAGTAGAACTGCAAGCTTGTTTTCTTTTTTGATTAAAAATATGAGGATTGACTTATCCTTGGAACAGAATTTTTCAGTTTGTGCAGGGTACATATTAACTCCCCTTATTTTCTCTTTCCTGGTCCATCATATTCTTAAACGGATGCTCTTTAGTTTATTATTCTATCAGTTTCTAAATAATGATGCTTTCCATGTGCCAGGCTTGGATGAGAACCTCTTTTTCTACACATGATCTAATGCATGAAAGCAGCTTAATAACTTTATCAGGTAGTTAATTTGTAAGAACCTACTCACCTTAGCTTGTTCTGGGAGGAGAGAACATACTACAGCTACAAGAAGGTACTTCTGCTCAACTGTCAGTCCTCAAAGCCCATGACTAGCCCAGTACATTTTGGCTAGCGGATATGCGCCAAATTACTGCTCAATTGTTTATGCTGCTGAGTATTAACCTAGTTACCATATATTAAGCCCCTGCTACATTATTATGCCCTAACTTCCAGATTACTGAGTATTTTAGAAATAATCTGTTACCTGTAGTAGCTTGTGTATAAATTAACTTTTAAGCTAGAATGAGTGGGAATTACCCAGGGGCCGCAATGGGTGAATTGCATTCAAACCCTTTTAATGAAAATTATGAGACTGAATCTCTCTCCTAGGAACTAGGAAGGGTCTTGTGCTTTGAGACAATGCCCTGATTAACTGGTGCAATGAGATTGCCCCCTTTCCCCCACAGAACCATCTGAGCGCCTAATAAATATCATACTTGTGATTTTAAACCTTTTTTTTTATAATACAGAACACCACAGCCTGTTCAATTCCTTTGTGAATTTAGCCTCAAAGTTGTTTGAACCAGGAAATTTGGTATTTCAAAGCAGTAACTATAGAGTATGTCATATAATCCCAGTCTATGTGAAGCAGACTTACTTTGACATTTTTGTAGGTTTGTAACTAGTAAAAGTAGTTGGTTCTCATCTAAATATTACCAAGAATTTAATTTAGTATCACTTCAGCTCCTTTAATTCAATAGAAACATACCAGCATTCTCCCTCTTTATTGGTAAGGAAACCCATCTAGACCTCTCTGGCTAGTAAAGCTAAGTTCTATTAGTAAGACATACAAGCTATACTAAACAGCACAGAGGTGGTGAACTGGGCTGCTTGTGTGCCAGTCTGAGGTTTGGTTAAGGTACAAAAGCACTAGCGTATCTCTGAGATGAAGAGTGTGCCATCTTTCTTCCATCAAGGCATATCTACTCTACCGAAAATGCAGGAGTCACAGTTGACTTAGGGCATGCATAAAGCTTCATCCTCTAGGACAGCTTTAGAAAGATCACTGCAGACTTTGGCTATGTATGTTCTCCACTGTCCCATCCCATGCGGTAGGTTGCAAGATGGGTGAATCTTTTGGATCCCTTGAGCATTTGTATACAGATGAAAACCAGATCTCTGCTCGGCAGAGCCACGGGGCTGGTAGAGTCAACAACTCAGAGGAACAATCTAACTGGTAACTTTAACTGGCAAACTTAATGAACTGGCAAGCTTAACGAGTGAACAAATGCAACTTGGCAATGGAACTATTTTCTGTGCGACCTGTCGCAAATTGTCTAAAACTTGTGAGGAGTGGAGAAAGAGAGGAGGGGGAGAAGGAAAAGAGAGGGGAGGAGGATAGGGAAAG